CCCCCCCCCTTTTACGGACTAAGAGCCGTTTGCACATAAGAAATTTATTTATTTTTTTATTTTTTTTCTGAAATCAGCTTTTGTTTATAAAATTTCTAATTTTCACATGCATTTTGAAATTTTTTGAAATTTTGAAAAATTCCAAAAAGCTATTTTTTAAAATTTTCGCTCAGATTACTCACAAAACTTCAAAAAGACCCCAAAATTATATTCATGTCCAAACACAACTCTAATTTTCAAATACCATTTTAACTTAAATTTTTTTTTCACCTTTTTTTTGGAATTTTGCAATTCTTATGTCCAAACGCCCACTAAAAGAGTAGTAATTGTTTTTAAAAAAAATTAATGTCAGATGTGTTTGCTAACACAATACGAGAACATTTTGAAAAACAAATTAAAAGCCAAGATCCATGAAATCAATTTTCCTTTTATTCTGGGAAGGAGCCGGGGGCTGGATATACATCCGATGCGAGTTAACATTTACCAACAAGAAGAGGCTGGCTTATGAATTATTCAAGTTCTTACTATGTCATTTTTGCCCTTTCTCTCAGCATGTCTCGACTACCAGAGATCCCTTTGCACCAATAATGCTGGAATTACAAATGACACAAAATTATTTACTTGACCAATCATTTTGATTACGCCAAATGCCGATTCTTGATAGTGAAGGCAACAAGAAAACAAACTAGACAAGGAACACTTGAATATTCAACTCAGTGACACACATGGGTGGACCAAATTTGATATTGATCTCTAGCAGTCAAGTTGGACTGCTAAAACTCTTCCCTTTTTTTGTCCTAGGTTTGTATCTCCCTACCCCTTTAACTCCCCTTAGCAAAAAAGAAGAAGAAAAAAGAATTTAAAGCTCAAAAGAAACTATGGCAGGGGGATTAGCAGTAGTAGCAAATGAGGATGGGCAGTACAATGGCAAGCTGACATCTTTTGTAATATTAGCTTGTATGATGGCTGCTATGGGAGGTGTAATTTTTGGATATGATATTGGAATTTCAGGTTTGATTTTCTGCATTTTCCTAAGTTATACAATCTTAAAACACACCTTGTAAAAGTTCCAATTGTCCAAAGGAAAAAAAAAAGTACAACACAAGATGTAGCTGCTATTTCCTTTGGTACTATGAATCAATTGCTTTACATAATCTATTTTATTTTACTAATAGTAGCTTTGAAAATGTGAAGGTGGAGTAACATCCATGGAACCTTTTCTAAAGAAGTTTTTCCATGATGTGTACACAAAGATGAAAGAAGACAAAGAAGTTAGCAATTACTGCAAATTTGACAGCCAATTGTTGACATCATTCACATCTTCCCTTTACGTAGCTGGTTTTTTTGCTACTTTTATTGCTTCATCAGTCACCAAAACATTTGGTCGTAAGGCCTCAATCCTTCTTGGAGGAGCTAATTTCCTAGCTGGTGCAGCCCTTGGTGGAGCTGCTTTTAATGTCTATATGCTTATCTTTGGCAGAGTTTTACTAGGTGTTGGTGTTGGTTTTGCAAATCAGGTAACAAATTACTACATGGGGTCCAAAAAATTAGTCGTTTGGGCGAGCTGAATTTATCTCAAAATATTTGACGTTTTAGAAAAACGTAATTTCTCATTGTGCCAAAAAACATAATGTCTCGGTGTACCAATAATAGCATACTCTTGGCCCGTTTAGTCATAAAAAAATTTCACTTTTATTCGAAAAATTTTAACTTGTTTTCGAAATGGTCATAAAATTTTTTAAATTTCGAAAATTTGAAAAACTCCCAAAAACTATTTTTCAAAATTTTCACCTCAAATCACTCATCAAGAATCAAATATAGCTCCATATTATATTTATGTCCAAACACAACTCTAATTTTCAAATACCATTTTTACTTAATTTTTTTTTTTTTACTTTTTTCTGAAATTTCACAATTCTTATGTCCAAATGCCAACTCATATCTATAGAAATGATCGACATGTTTGAAGAGCACAAGTTTTGAGGGTATTTTGGTAGATACGAAAAGTCTTTCTTTCTTTATCCGATCAAACACCTTCCTATAAAATGAAATAACGGGAATACTTCTCAACTAAAAGACATAAATCATGTTTCACTCTTGTTAAAAAGGGGAAAGTTCTCAAAATGCAATCTCAAAGAGTTTTCTTTTGTCCAATTTACTATTCTTATTATTCCTTTTTGGGACTAAAACAGCCCAATCAACTATCTAAAGATTAAGTTGGTTTTTACCATTTTGCAGGCTGTACCATTATATCTTTCAGAAATGGCACCATCCAAGTACAGAGGAGGAATCAACAATAGCTTTCAACTAAGTGTAGGCATTGGAGTTTTAATAGCAAACCTTATAAATTATGGCACTGAAAAGGTCAAAGGTGGTTGGGGATGGAGAGTGTCCCTTGCTATGGCTGCAGTTCCAGCATTCATTTTAACTTTAGGCGCATTATTCCTCCCAGAAACACCGAACAGCTTAATTCAACGCACCAAGGATCGCGAAAAGGTTAAAAGAATGCTACAAAGAATCCGAGGCACTGATGATGTTCAAGCAGAACTTGATGATCTTATTGTAGCTAGTGAAACTTCAAAAACTATCAAACACCCTTTTAAGAACATTCTACAAAGAAAATATAGGCCTCAACTTGTTATGTCCGTGGCAATACCGTTTTTCCAACAAGTGACGGGAATTAATGTCATTGCATTCTATGCTCCTATACTTTTTCGAACGATTGGACTAGGTGAAAGTGCAGCTCTTTTGTCTGCTGTTGTGACAGGGGCTGTTGGGATTGCTACAACTGCAATGTCAATGTTGATTGTCGATAAAGTTGGCCGAAGAGGGCTGCTAATTTTTGGAGGAATACAAATGTTTGTTACACAAATGTTAGTAGGAGGATTAATGGGAGCTAAGTTAGGGGATCACGGTGGAGTGAGTAAAGCTTGGGCATTTGTGATATTGGTGTTGATTTGCATTTATGTAGCTGGTTTTGGTTTGTCATGGGGCCCATTAGGATGGTTAATTCCAAGTGAAATATTCCCATTAGAGATAAGATCAGCTGGACAAAGTATTACAGTAGCAGTGAACTTTCTCTTCACTTTTTTGGTTGGTCAAACATTTTTAGCCATGTTGTGCCATCTTAAGTTTGGGATTTTCTTCTTTTTTGGAGCTTGGGTGGCAATAATGACTGCATTTGTCTACTGGTTTTTGCCAGAGACTAAGAATTTGCCTATTGAGAAAATGGACAGGGTGTGGAGGGAACACTGGTTTTGGAAGAGAATTGTAGGAGAAAATAATGAGGTTATCATCAAAGAAACAACTTAAAGTTAGTGATCATGAGCCCATCCGTAGAATCAATTGAAAGAAAAGTGTTGCTCTCTTCCTTTTCCTATTTGGAAATTTATGATTATGCTTATTGGAAACTGTATATTGGTTTTCTAAATTAGACATCATGCAGAAGAGATACAATGAAATCGTATTTCACTACAAGAAATGAGATTTTCAGTGACAATTTTATGCCACGAAAAGGAAGGCGTTTTTAGTGGCGATCAAAGAAGTTGCCAAGGAAAATAACTTATTAGTGACGCAAGCAAGGAGTCGCTAAGGATTTATCTTTATAATGTAACTTAACCATCAATTAGAGATGTATAAGCACTTGTAAGAGACATTTTCCTTATCATTTGTGGTAAAAACTTACCAATTTTATGCTCTATTTCTTGTCCTTGCCTAGTCATCTAAATTCTAACATATGGATATGGTCCCTAACTCCCAACTAAGGACTACCTAAATATTGATCTTTCATTCTACCAAAACCTAATCAAAGTATGTTTTGGTGACATAATCGAACAAACTGGCTACTAAATAATATGTCCTAGGTTTTACTACTCCATTTAACTTTCCCGCTTTCTTTCTGTTTTTGATCTTAAGTCTATTCCCTCAAACAAATGAAGGAATAAAACAAATCAAAATCAAACAAATGCAAAACGGGAAAATATTTTGGCTTCTAGTCCTTTATTAAAGTGGCATAATTGGAACCGCCTCAGACTCTTTGGATCAACACTTACGTTTGCTTCTCTTTTGTATTCAGACCTTATAAAGAATTAGATACCTAGTTTGATACTATCATTTTTGAAGAAATGAGCTTTATTGGCGCGGAAGTACAGACGAACAGAAGAAGTCAAAGCAGAACTAAATGACCTCATCAATGCAAGTGACTTTGTAAAAAAGAGTCAATACACCGATATCATAAAAAAGAAGCGTAGACCCCAACTTGTCATATCAATAGCAATCCCAATTTTCCAATAGGTTTAAGGGATTAAAGTGATCTCTTTCTATGCTCCTATATTCTTTAAGAACAATTGGATTAGGTGAAATGCATCACTCATATATATCTGCAGTGTTTATTGGAGTTGTTGGTGCTGATATAATCTTGCTCTCGTCATTGTTATTAGACTGAGTCGGCTGGATATTATTGTCTCAAGTTGGAGGAATTCAAATGCATGTATCATAAATAAATGTTGATTGAGGAAATAATGCTACTTAAATTAAGGGATCGTGGACCATGGTTGTCTGAACTAGTGGTACAGTTTACTGGTTTTGATGTTATTTAGCATTTAAATTGTGGGGTTTTGTCTGTCTTGGGCTCCATTAGGATGGCTGATTCCAAGTGAAATTTATCCACTAGAGACTAGGTCAGCTTCACAAAGTATAACTGTAGCACTAGGATTTTCTTCATTTTTTCTGTAGCTCAATCATTTCTAGCTATGCTCTGCCACTTCAAGTCTGGAATTTTCTTGTTTTATGGGGGTTGGATCTGGGTAATGACAGTGTTTGTGTACTTGACTACCTGAGATAAAGAATGTACCGCCTTGAAAAAGTGGGGTTCTCTAAAACTAGAAGGCCACCAAACTTGCACTTCATTTGTAATATGGGGTACGAAGGGAAACCTTGGAGCAACGGTAAATTTGTGTTCGTGTGACCTATAGTATATGGGTATTTGCATTAGGGTAAACTGTTTACATCACACCCTTGGGGTACGGCCCTTCCCCAGACCCTACATAAACACAAAATGCTTTGTACACTGAGCTGCTCTTTATTCATAATCTAGCATATAATAACTAAACCTTAATCCTAACTAGTTGTTATCATCTATATGGATCATTTGCATTCATTTTGTTTTGTCCGCATTGATTCTGAGAGACAGTAGGTATTATTTTCATTAACAATTCAAAAAATTTATTGATAATCCGATGTATTAATAAAAACATGCAAACGGACAAATTAAGTTAAGAGTAATCTCTTTTTTCTGCGTTGTCCAAGTCTATATAGTTGTGATGGTTTCTTCTTTGCATTTATTACAAGGAAAGGAAAAGAACATATAACTTGCCACTTTCTAGGAGGTGAACAGATTTTGGGAGAAATTTCAGAACTATATTAACTTATTTGCCAATACTAGCCAAACTACTGGAAGGAGTGAATCCATATTGCATCACAACAAGACAAGAAAGTCAAGAGCATGACTAATTCAACTCAGCATTAATCGTCATATGCCCGTAAAGTCCAACGAGTAGATACCGCCTTCCAGTTGCAACCCATTGACCTATGTAATTTATGTACTGATGTTGATTTATTAGCAGTCATGACGGAATTCTTCTTATCTTAAACTCCTATACATTCATGGTTCCTAAGTCTGAGCTCGCAATCTTCACGCTTAATCTCCTCTAGATAGAATTTAAATTTGACGAGAAGAAATGGCAGTTGGTATTGTCCCAACTAGTGAGAATTCTGCCAAATACAATGGCAGGATTACATGGTTTGTGGTGTTATCATCAATGGTTGCTGCTACTGGAGGAATCATCTTTGGCTATGATATTGGAATTTCAGGTTCTTTTCAATATTCACTTTTACTTTTAAACAACTGTTAACACCATTCAAAGACAAACTGTCAAGTTCTTACTTACTTACTATTGTGTTTTAAAGGTGGAGTAATCTCTATGGAGCCATTTCTGAAGAAATTCTTTCCAGATGTGTATAATAAGATGAAACAAGTCTCCAAAATAAGCAACTACTGTATATTTGACAGCCAACTACTGACTTCTTTCACCTCCTCACTGTACATTGCTGGCCTAATTGCCTCCTTCTTTGCTTCACCTATCACTCGGACATTTGGCCGTAGACCATCAATTCTAATAGGTGGAATAGCATTTCTCATCGGTTCTGCCCTTGGAGGCGCAGCAACCAATATCTACATGCTATTACTTGGCCGCGTCCTGCTAGGAGTCGGGGTTGGTTTTGCAAACCAGGTATAGACTTTTTCCTATTAATGTGCCTTCTATATATTGTAATTAGCTGTGTGCTTTCATTTGAACAATATTCTGGACAGACTTATGTTATGATCGAAATAATCAGATGTCATGTAAAAGCTAACAAAGTATACCTTCAACACTATAAATCAGACAACAAAAGAGAAATATACCAAAAGAGACACAAACATTTAATGTGATTCGGCCAATTTACCTACATCCACAGGCAGAGATAAACAATCCGCTATATAAAAAAGAGTACAAAATATAGAGAGAATAACTTCACAACTTATTCATTTATGTTACCAACGTCATAACAGATGTCTTTTGGCTGCAGGCAGTCCCTTTATACCTCTCAGAAATGGCACCTCCCAAGTACAGAGGATCTTTCAATATTGCATTCCAACTTTGTGTAGGAATTGGAGTTCTATCAGCTAGCCTTCTTAACTACGGCGTTGAAAAGATTAAAGGCGGTTGGGGATGGAGAATTTCCTTGGCAATGGCTGCAGCTCCTGCCTCATTTCTAACAGTAGGAGCACTTTTTCTCCCGGAAACAGCAAACAGTCTAATTCAACATGGCAAAGATCATCAAAAAGCTAAGCAGATTCTACAACGCGTAAGAGGTACACTCGATGTCCAAACAGAACTAGATGATCTCATCAAAGCAAGTGACAAGTCAAAAACAGTCAAGCACCCTTTCAAGCAAATTATTAAACGTAAATACAGGCCTCAACTAGTTATGTCAATAGCAATACCATTTTTTCAGCAAGTGACAGGAATCAATGTGATCTCGTTCTACGCTCCAATTTTGTTCCAAACAATAGGCCTAGGTGCAAGTGCATCGCTTTTGTCTGCTGTAGTGACCGGGGTGGTAGGGACCAGCGCGACGTTTTTAGCGTTGTTGATAGTTGACAAGGTCGGGCGAAGAGCTATGTTCAGTTCCGGGGGAATCACAATGTTTATATCACAAATGTTGATAGGGGGAATAATGGCAGCTAAGTTAGGAGATCAAGGAGCATTGAGTAAAGGATATGGTCTATTGGTTTTGATCTTGATATGCATTTATGTTGCTGGTTTTAGCTTGTCTTGGGGTCCTTTAGGATGGTTAGTTCCAAGTGAAATCTTTCCATTAGAAATAAGGTCAGCAGCACAAAGTATAACAGTGGCTGTTGGTTTAATTTTCACTTTCATTATTGCTCAGACTTTCTTGGTTATGCTCTGCCACCTCAAATCTGGAATTTTCTTCTTCTTTGGTGGATGGGTTGCTATTATGACTGCATTTGTGTACTTGTTATTGCCAGAGACGAGGAATTTGCCAATTGAAAATATGGAACAAATCTGGAGGGATCATTGGTTTTGGAANGCCAATTGAAAATATGGAAAAAATTTGGAGGGATCATTGGTTTTGGAATAGATTTATTTGTGATGAACAAGACTACGAGAAGGGTGAGACTTAGCTAGACTGAACTATTTTTACCTATGTTGCTCGGACTCTTCAAAAAGGTTGCCGAGTGCGTGTTCGATCCTTTAAAAATACTGCACTTTTGGTGTGACATTTTTAAAGAGTCCGAGCAACATAAATTTTCATTGGCCTTCCAATATAATACAAGTTTAAGATACTCTTGTTGGCTATGAAGTAAGTTGGCTTGTAATTGAAATAGATGACAATTTTGATACTTCTTCGTCTAGAGGAATTATCTCTTTTTCACTTTGATTTTTGTAGCTTTCTGTTAATGTACTCAATAGTAATGGCACCTATTATTTCCCTCATGAAATTTGGGCAATTTGATGTAGTATATTTTTTGTGAAAATCAACGGCTTTAGTAAAACTAATGATTTTTTTTTTTTTTTTGGAAAAACATCAAGGATGCACATCTGAAGCATGTAAAGTTTCAGGATTTAACTTGTGATCTTCCGAAAAGCATCTTCCCTACATTTCCATAAGAGATTATTTCCGCGGTTCGAATTCATGACATATTGGTCGCACCGTAACAACCTTACTTTTAGTCATATGACTCACTCATATCTTACGTAAGGCTCATGAATAAGAATCTAAAAAGATGAGCCAAGAGTCATTTGGGAGAGAATGGATAAAGACGAATAGTTGTTACTCCATAATCTTTGTTAAGTTAATCTGATAACGATATTTTTAATGATGTAATCTCATTTATGAAATAAATGTAACAGTATAGTTTATTAGTATTATCCGATTTAGGCCTAAACTTGTACAATTTTAAAATGCATCACTAATATTTAAGACTTATTTATTTATATACTCAATATTTTTCTTGTGATTTACTATCGTGAGATGACATAGGGTGTCACAATTAAAGAGTTTACTTTGAGGGTGAGTTATTTATGATTTTGTTTTTCTTTCCTACAAGATAGTAGAAACTATTTTTTGTTAAAGACTAAGGTGTTTCAAAAAATAATATATAAAGAAGTAATCAAAATCTGTTATAAAATAAAGACTGTAAAGTGAAGACAAGTATAGAGAGAAACTGATATATTATTCAATTTCAAACTGACGTACATAATGAATTGAAATCTCCTATATTTATAGAAGAAAGGAAGCTGCTTGTAAGCTGCTACTGCAAGCTGTTGTATAAGCTGCTATTATACCAGATATAGATAATCTTCTACCACGGGTAATATTTATTCATAACAGAGTATCGAAATGATAAGCTCATTGTACCAGATAGGGATAATCTTCTACTGGGGGGTAATATTTATCCATAACGGAGTACTGAAAGGATAAGCTTCTTTAGGGGGCTTATTTCCAATAGAGTACTAAATAGATAAACATATTTACGGTGGAGTCCTATATAGATAAGCTTCTTCAGGAAGCTTATTTACAACGGAGTACTAAATGAACATCCATAATATAATATATTCATAACACTCCCCCTTGAATGTTCATTAAAAGATAATGTGTCTCATTAAAACCTTACTAAAAAAAATCCCGTGAAAAAAAAATTCTAGTGAAGGAAAAACAGTACACATATTTAGTAATACGCATAACCAGTTGTCTCATTAAAAACCTTATAAGGAAAATCATGTGGGAAAAACCTTAGTAAGGAAAAAAGAGTATAGCGTGTATTTTATTCCCCCTGATAAAAATCTTGTTTTAAATATTTGAGTCTCCGCATTTTAATCTTGTATACCATCTTCTCAAAAGTAGAAGTTGGCAAAGATTTAGTAAATAAATCTGCCGGATTGTCACTTGAAAGGATTTGTTGCACATCAATGTCACCATTTTTCTGAAGATAATTGGCGAGCTAACTAACAAAAGGCTAATATGGCTTCTTGATTTGCATCATCTTCGTATAAAATTGTGGATCTTTTATCACATTCCAAACCATATTTTCCTTGAATAAAATGAATCACTGATCTCAACCATACACATTCCCTACGTGTTTCATGAATAACTATTATCTCGGCATGATTTGAAGAAGTAGCAACAATAGATTGCTTTGTGGAGCGCCATGATATGACAGTACCTCCATATGTAAACACGTACCCGGTTTGAGATCGAGCTTTATGTGCATCAGATAAATAACATGCATCTGCATAACCAACAAGATCTGCACTACCTTTGTTAGAATAAAATAAACTCATATCAAGAGTTCCTTTTAAATATCACAATATATGTTTAATCCTGTTCCAATATCTCCGTGTAGGAGAAGATCTATATCTTGCTAGTAAATTAACAGAAAATGCTATGTTATTGTCACGCCCCCAAATTCCCTCCGTAGGATGTTGTGATGGCACCTAGTCTCTATGACTAGGTAAGCCCATCAATGCGGAATAATAATAAATATCTGAAATAAATAAACTATAATTCAAACAATTTCAACTCTCAAAACCCGGTAGAAATAAGTCACAAGCTTCTAAGAATTTATTATCTATATCTCTATACATCAGAGTCTAAAGCAAATAAGGAAGATAATATAGTAAGATAGAAGGGGACTCCGGAGTCTGCGGACGCTGGCAGATATACCTCGAAGTCTCCTCGTACAACTAGTTTACTGATGCCTGGTCTGATAAGATGTACTTGGATCTACACAAAAAGATGTGCAGAAGCGTAGTATGAGTACACCACATCGGTACCTAGTAAGTGCCAAGCCTAACCTCGGTAGAGTAGTGACGAGGTCAGGTCAGGCCCTACTGAAAAATAAATAATGGCATGGTAAAATGTTTAAACAATATAATAAGATAAAATGACAATGAAAATGAATCAAGTATTATGTCACATTTAATTACACCAAATAATGGCAAATAAATATATCGTGGAAATAAAACAGAATTCTTTTCAACTTTAAGAAAATCACAATAATAATCAAAGGCAACTGCGGCCATAAATCTATATCAACAAGGGCACTCCCGAGATACCGCCTCGTAGTCCCAAATCATAAATAAATTCACAATATTTCATTTCCTTATCTCACCGCGGGAGCCTTCATAATTTATTTTAAAGAAAATATTTTTTCCGAAATAGCATCCCGCGTTTTAGCCATTCTTATCACACCACATGACTTCTAGTAGTTCCCCCTACTAGCCACGTGTATCAAGCCACCCTTATCTCACCGCATGCGTTTCAATACTCAGACCTTATACCACCGNTCACAATAAAGAGCTCACGGCTCATACCAAAATAAATCATCAATAATATTTTTTTACAATAAAGAGCTCACGACTCTATCATAATGAGTACAAAATTCTTATAAAAATATTCAGGAATAGATAATTCAGGAAAATAATATTTTAAAATCTTTAATACGTTGCTTCAATATCAAATTTAAAAATGTCAAATACTTCATATTAATAATATTTAATTTAAAGAAAATCAACCTTCAAATAATGCACAGAATAAAAGAAACCAAGTTTCAACTAAACAGGTAAACCAATTAGCAGGAAAAGGTCAAACAAATTTAAAGTATATATCTCAGATCAATGATGAAGAATATAACAAGATAAAATAATTTAATAAATGCGCAACAGTGATCTACACAATTTAAAAATATAATCTTTCATATTTAGCCAGTGTACACACTCGTCACCTCGTGTACATGACTTTCAACACATTTCAATAATCATATCAATACCAATCCTAGGGAAAATTTCCTCCACAAAAGGTTAGACAAGTCACTTACCTCGACTTGCTCCAATTTAACCAAGTATTATGCTTTTTCCTCGATTTTCCGACTCCGATCGACTCGTATCTAGTCATAATTAATTCGATACAGTCAACAAAAATTATAGGAATCAATTTCATAAGAAAACACTATATTTCTCGATAAAATTCGAAATTAGCTCAAATATTGCACGTGAGGCCCACGTCTCGGAATCCGATGAAACTTATAAAATCCGACAACCCATTCAATTACGAGTCCAACCATACTAGTTTCACTCAAATCCGACTCCGAATCGACATCGAAATCTCAAAAATTCATTTTCATGATCTTTCTAAAATATTTCCAAATTTCTATCTCAAAACACTACTTAAATAGTGAAAACAATGATATATTCGTGTATATTGATCAAATTCGAGTTATAATCACTTACCCCAATGTTTTTCCTTGAAAATATATCAAAATCGCCTCTTCTCAAGCTCCAATTCGTCAAAAATGGCAAATGGGATAAAGTCCCCTATTTTTATAACTTACAGATCTGTCCAGCCTGCCTTCGATCCTAGAGCTCGATCATGGAGCTCGGTCATGGAGCCCGATTTTGTACCTCGGTTGGAGCCCGATTTGTACCTCGGTTGGAGCCCGATTTTGACACTTGGTCAGGGAGCCCGATTTTAATAGCATTTTCAGCAGAAAAATTGCAGCAGCTAAGTCCCACTTTTGATCCGATCCGTTAACCATCCGAAACTCACCCGAGGCCCTCGAGACCTCAACCCAATACATCAACAAGTTCTAAAATATCATATGAACTTATTTGAAACCTCAAATCACATCAAACAATGCTAAAATCACAAATCACACCCCCAATTCAAGCTTAATAAAACTTAAGAATTTCCAACTTCTACATTCGATGTCGAAACCTATCAAATCAAGTTCGATTGACCTCAAATTTTGTACACAAGTCATAAATGGCATAACGGAGCTGTAAAAACTTTTGGAACTAAATTCCGACCCCGATATCAAAAAGTCAACTCCTCGGTCAAACTTCCAAACTTTAAATTCCTATTTTAGTCATTTCAAGCCTAATTTCACTACGGACTTCCAAATAAAATTACGATCACGTTCCTAAGTCCAAAATTACCATACGGAGCTGTTGGAATCATCAAAATTCTATTCCAGGGTCGTTTGCATATAATTTGACATCCGGTCACTATTTGAACTTAAACTTTTAATTTTTCATCAAAACTCCATATCTCGGACTAGGGGCCTCGGAATTTGATTCTGGGCATACGCCCAAGTCCCAAATCATGATATGGACCTACCAGAATTATCAAAATACTGATCCGAGTCCGTTTGCTCAAAATGTTGACCAAAGTCAACTCAGTTGAGTTTTAAAGCTCTAATTCACATTTTAATCCATTTTTCACATAAAACCTTTCTGAAAAATTTTACGGATTGCGCACGCAAGTCGAAAAATTATAAATAGTACTTTTCGAGGTCTTAGAACACATAATTAATTATTGAATTTAAAGATGATATTTTGGGTCATCACAGTTATACCTTGTAGCATTAGCAAGATATATAAGTGCACCAATTGCACTAAGATAAGGTATTTCGGGACCAAGGAGTTCCTCATCCTCTTCTGG